AGCGCTGCAGCCTCCGTGGGGCCCGGGGCGGGGGAGTGCGGGGTCTGCTCTGCCGGACTGGTGTGGTTTAGTCCGTGACTTACCCACCTGATAATGGAGGGATGAGAGCAGATGGCAGGAGTCGTGTTGTGGCATTTCAGAGATGTCCATCGATGGCTGATAACCTAGCAAGTGCTTAACAGGTGGCAGTCTGTCCCCAGGCGCCGCCGATACTCTCGCTCCAGTCTGTTTATCCAGCCCGGATGACTAGAGCTCGACCTCCCCATGTCTGTTTAGATGATCCCAGAGGTAATGCATATGAAGCAGTGTCTAGCACTTATCCTTCATTAAAGATGACCTTTCTTCATCATCATCACCCCACGTGTGGCATTAAATAAGATTTCTTATACTCAGTTCCATACACTTACATTGAGAACCACCACTCCGATAGAAGTAAAATGTAAGCCACATATACAATCTAAATTTTTTCTCATAAGCACATTAAAAAGCAAAACACTGCAAGACAGAAAGCTGGTGATTGCCATTTAAAGAATGTATTATGTTTAATCCAGTATGTCCAAAATATTATTATTTAAAAATGTAATCGATATGAAAAAAGTTTAACAAGGTAGTTTATTCTTTTTTTCATACTCGGTCTTTTTAGGACGAATGTGTATTTTACACTTACAGCCCGTCTCACCTGTGTTGGACAGCGCAGCTCGAACACCTCAAGGCGCTTACAGTCTAACAATGGCAATGTATTGACTCTTGACTTCGACTGGAAATGCCATGAACATCCAAACCCAGTGATCCACTGGGACATTAATATGAGTCCAAGGGCCAGCCCATGGCATAGTGCTTAAGGACTATGTGGAGGGATCCAGATCACATGTGGTGGACTGCAGTCTGAATCCCGGCCCTAGTGCCTTGAAAACGTGCTAGGTTCATGTGCCCCTGTACCCAGGATCATTATGAACAGAAAGGGAGGAAAGGGAATTGTGCTGTGACCAGACCCCATGGTATTAAAAAAAAAGTTGAGAATTCTTTAAGTAAAAGTAATATAAGGTAAGTATGTGGTGTACGTAACTTGATAAAGCAGAATCTCTATTAAGACTTATTCTTAGGGCCCAGAAAGTGTTGTAGTTGTTAAGGTGCTGGACTCTCACATGGCAGATTGCAGTCTGAGTCCCAAAACCAGCAGCATGCCATGTGCTTCGTATGCTTGCATGCCCAAAATCCAAGAAGAGAACGGAAGAGAAAGGATTGCAGTGTGACCATTCCCCCAGGGGATGATTTCTTACTTTTTCTCGCTCTTTCTCTGGTGAGCACACATTTTTGCAAAATAATAATAATAGAAGAATTGTACTTGGACAGCCTCAACATTTGTTATTGTACTCATCTAAAAGGGAAAACTTGCAGGGTCAGCAGGTATCATAGTGGTTAAGGCACTGGACTTCCACTTGGTCATCCACAGTTTGAGTCCCAGACCTGGCAATTTGAAACTTATGCCAGGCTCATGTGTGTGCGTGCCCAAAATCCCAAGAGCAGAATGGAGAAGGGATTGTGACGTGGCCATCCTCCCTGGTGGGGGGGTGGTGATTTCTCACTTTCTGTCTCTCTCAGTATCTCTGACGAGCACATGTGCCCTATGGTAAAAATCTCTCCAAAAAAATAAATAAATAAAATAAAAAGGGAAAACTTGCTATTATTCTTGCTGCCTTTTTCCCTTGAGACATTTACATCTAGTTTTGTAATAGACACTAGGTATATGGTAGAAAATACACTATATTTTTCTATTGAGTCTCATGGAGCAATGGTAATGTTTCATGTAACAAGAGCCTTGTGCTGACACATCATAAAAAGCGTATTGGTTTCTTAAACCTTGTGTGAAGAGTGTCCACCAAAAATAGAAATGTCTTCTTTCATAAAAGGTAAAAAATAAAGCCCCCGCTGAAGTACAGATCACTGCTGAGCAACTCTTAAGAGAAGCTAAAGAAAGAGAACTTGAGCTTCTTCCGCCTCCACCTCAACAGAAGATCACAGATGAAGAAGAGTTAAATGACTACAAACTAAGGAAAAGGAAGGTCAGTCCCTGTGATCTCTCTTAAGCAGTTAAGAATGTGTCTGTTTCAAAAGTTCCTTGTTACCAGAGTCTGTAAGGTAAAATGAGGTTAGCATCCCTAGCTGCATAAATAATGTAACTTCTGCTTACCAGATAATTGCATTTTTATTGAGTTTCATAAAATCTGCTCTAAGTTATCTGTTTAAAGTATACAGAAATTAAATCCATCAAGGACATAATTTTCAGTGATAAAAAGTAGAACTTTAGCAGGCTTACCTGTTCGGTGGGTGAAATAACTGACATCTGGAATGGGTGGGCTGAGCCAGGTTCGGCTGTGAGCTTCTGTCTCTACCACATTCTGTATTCAAAGGTTAGACCTAGGGCCAGCCAGTGGCATGGTGCTTAATGCCACTGGAGCCCACATGACTGTTCAAATCCCACACCCATTCGCTTGGGAAACATGCAGGGCACATGTATATGCCCAAGGCCCCCAGGGGAGGGAGAGCAAGGAAAAGGGATTGTGGTGTGACCATCCCCTATGCAGGTTGCTTTCTCACTTTCCCATTCATTCTCCAGAGAACACGTACATCGTGTAGCAAATTTAAAAAAAAAAAAAAAAAAAAAAGTTCAGTCCTGGGAAAACTGCTATGAGAAGACCCTGGGATCTGATTTGACTTCATTTCTCTAGAATGTAAGACTATTTTAAACCACTTTCTTACTTTTTTATGTCTATTTATTTTTTGCTCTCAGTTATATATGAAATTCTGAGGAATGCTGAAAAGATTTAAGGGTAATATCTTCTAAAAGTATAGGGCATATTAAAGTATCAGTTAATTGTCATGGGCAATAGGAGAAAATACCCACAGTTCTGCTAATAATTCTTTATATGAATTCTTTTTTTGTTCACATGGAAGAGTTTCACGAAACACTTGTGGTTATAACCTTCTGTAGTGCGTTTCTTACTCCTCAAGGATTCCTGGATATAATTTCTCTTAAACAAGAACACAGGCTTATTGTAGGCAAAGGATGATAATCATTTTTTAGTTATTTTTCCTTTAATTTGACCCTTTTTGCCACTTTCCAGACTTTTGAAGATAACATAAGGAAAAACAGAACTGTGATTAGTAACTGGATAAAATACGCACAATGGGAAGAAAGTCTGAAGGAGATTCAAAGGTAAAAGTGCTGAAACTGTAGTTTTGTAAAGATTGTAAAGATGTCACCAGTTAACAGATACAAATTAGAAAAGGCACAGGTAAAAGAGAATGCCTTTGGTTACTAATTTTCAGCTTTTGTTCCATGGTACCTTAGTGTTCTTTGAGAGGCCTCAGGGGCACTGTGGTATCGCAAGCCTGAGGGGAGAGACAAAGAGAGGGTCTATAGATGGGTCTGCCATCCAGAACACTTCCTGTAGCTGGAATAGCACATTGTCCTAGGGTTTGGATATATTGAGTTTTTTTTGTTGTTTTGTTTTGTTTTTTTAAATAGCTTTTTGCTACAGGGTGTAAGCACTCACGAGGGTTAGAGAGAGACAGACAGACATCCCCAGGAGGGATGACCATGCTGCAATCACTTCTCCATTCCCCTCTTCGGATCTTGGGCATGCATGCACATGTGCCCAGCGTGAGTTTTGAACTGCCAGGTCTGTCTTAAGCTCAAACCACAATGACCTGAGAGTCCAACAACGTAACCATTATGCTGTCTGCTGTCCCTGTAACAAGACTTTTTAAGGTATTTAAGAACATCTTCTCTTTTCATATTTTTTTTTCATTTTATTTATTTTTTAAATTTGCTATAAGGCATGTGAACTCACCAGAGAAAGAGAGAGAGAAAGGGAAAGTGAGAAAGCAAGCCGCCAGGTCCAGGACTCAAACTATGGTCAGCCATATGGGACTCCAGCACCTCGACCACCATACCACCTGCTGGCCCCTCTTCATTTTTTAATACTTACAGGCTGGCTTATGGTAGACAGCTAATAAAATAGCAGGGCATTGTGGATAGTTTGAAATAACTGCTCCATGTGTTGTATGTTACCACTTTTGATGCCCTTCAAATCTTGCTTTTAAGGGCTCGATCCATATACGAGCGTGCTTTGGATGTAGACTATCGAAATATTACACTCTGGCTGAAATATGCAGAAATGGAAATGAAGAATCGCCAGGTCAACCATGCTCGAAATATCTGGGACCGAGCCATAACTACACTCCCGCGAGTCAACCAGTTCTGGTAAGTTTCTGACCAAATGACAGTAGATTTTTATAGACTAGAAAAGGCCCACATCTCTGTGTATTTACCTTATATACCTAGGTATAATCATTGTATACATTTAATGTTGCATCCTACCTCTTAAGAAAAATGGCTTATTCCATGAGAGGAAGGGAAGGGTCCCCAGTAAGGTCCCCACATAATGATCCACCCCTAGTCCCAGGTGTCCTGGATCATGGGTGTATGCACATGCCCTTGTGCTCAGAGAGGTCCTAGAGTGTAAGTCCGGGACCTTTGCCATGTGAGTCCAGGCACGTTACCACTGCAGCACCACCTGGCTCCGTCCTGCTTTTCTTTGTACGTACTTTAATACTTTTTAACGTCCCATATTCTACTTAAAGTCGTAATATTTAATAGTGATGTGATCTTAACTATAGCATTGATGACAACCTTTTATGCATAAGAAACTTGTTACAATAG